GGAGTGCGTGCTGAACCTGGGCAAATTCCACAACATCGTTCGTCTTGTGGCCTTTTGTCCCTTTTCCTCGTCCCAGGTTGCCTTGGAAAATGCCAACGCTGTGTCTGAAGGTGAGTTGGCCACTAAATATTATAGGGGGATGACCCGAGATGTAGTTCTTGGTACTGTTAACCCTTTAACAACCTAGAATGTAGGCTTTATTTCCTGTAGGCACTGTAGTAATAAATGATTTTAAGTGAAATCAGGCTGGGGTTGAGGGGCTGGTATAATGGTAGATCTAATCAAATGTGGTTCTCTGCTGGTTTCTTCAGCTGATTGCAAAGGATAATTTTGATGCTAAAAGCCTGGAGAAAGAGTTTTAGTCCCAGAAGACAGATCTGATGCTAAATACATCCATTGTGCTCAAGGGTGTTTCAAGCTTTCAGTAATATATTTTACACTTATGTTATTGGGCCTGAGTTCTGTTCCTCCTATGGTTGATGCTGGCTTTGCAGTGATGACTTGAGTCTGTCAATCCCCTGAGTGAGTGTAATCAGTGATGTCTCCATGTCTCTGAGCAAAGCCCCTGAGCAAGAGGAGGGCTCTAGGCACAGGCCATCTTAGCATGCTCTGCAAAACCAGTGTAAGATCAGTCTATCACTGATCAGCAGTTGAGGGGACAAGATCCCTTTTTATGATTTAAGCATCCTTCAGCATGTTAGTGGGAGCTCTGTTCGTTGCCTTGAGGTGTTGTTCATGAGGACCTCCGCCTGCTCTTGGAGACTCACCTACCACCCAAAAAGAAGAAAGTACTTCTGGGGGTTGGGGACCCCAAGATAGGTGCGGCTATACAAGAGGAGTTGGGGTACAACTGCCAGACTGGAGGTGTCATAGCCGAGATCCTTCGAGGTGAGACATTTTTGAGCCGGTGACGGGGGGACGGGGTGGGTGGGGGCCTGGAAACCTAGCAGGTTGCTTTTTAGAAGCCCTCCTGCTTGTCTGGTGCCTGTGCATGCAGGAACTAGCTCAGCATTTACTTACAGTCTCGCCCTCTTCTAGGAGTTCGTCTGCATTTCCACAATCTGGTGAAAGGTCTGACTGATTTGTCTGCTTGTAAAGCCCAACTGGGGCTGGGACACAGCTATTCTCGTGCCAAAGTTAAGTTCAATGTGAACCGAGTGGACAACATGATTATCCAATCCATTAGCCTCCTGGACCAGCTGGATAAGGATATCAATACCTTCTCCATGCGTGTCAGGTAAAGTGCAGGGGTGACCTGAGAAACTTGTGCGTTAGCTAATTTTGAATCCTGAGATCAGGACTGGTAGAGCTGGGCCTCCTGATGCTTACCACAGGCTGTGTTCTTACACTGACTGTATAGAAAGAGGAGGCAGAGTAAGTCTACCCCATATACACCTCAGCCCAGGCAGGCCCTTTACCTGGTCTGTATTGTGAATGGGGAGACATGGAGGTTTTTGGATCTGATTTGTTCCCATTTCCTCCAGGCATAAAGTAGATGTGGAGAGGGCTGAGTGTAGCTTTGAGGCATGGCAGCTGGGCCAGGGAGTGATTGTGGTTCTTTGCAGGGAGTGGTATGGGTATCACTTTCCTGAGCTGGTAAAGATCATCAATGACAATGCTACGTACTGCCGCCTTGCTCAGTTCATTGGAAACCGGAAGGAGCTTAATGAAGAAAAGTTGGAGAAGCTGGAGGAGCTGACAATGGATGCAGCCAAGGCTAAGGCTATTCTGGATGCCTCGCGGTCTTCCATGGGTCAGTACAGAGCCTAGCAGTGAAAATAAGGCATGGGGCTCTGAATATTGGGCTTCTGCATTCACACTTGACTTTCTTTAGGCATGGACATATCAGCCATTGATTTGATAAACATCGAGAGCTTCTCCAGCCGTGTGGTGTCTTTGTCAGAGTACCGTCAAAGTCTACACACTTATCTGCGATCCAAGATGAGCCAAGTAGCCCCCAGCCTGTCTGCCCTAATTGGGGAAGCGGTGCGTCATGGGAAACCAAAACATGGGGGATTATGGCATTACCTTGTATATTCGTCATATTGTTGTATTTTGTGACCTATCATATCTTCCCCGCTTGAACTTGATCGGGAGGAGGTTGAAGCAAGTTAGGCAGTTGGTACGTTGGCAATTCCAGCTTCTTTGACTCCTTGCCTCTTTCTCTAGGTAGGTGCACGTCTCATTGCTCACGCTGGCAGTCTCACCAATCTGGCCAAGTATCCGGCATCCACAGTGCAGATCCTTGGGGCTGAAAAGGCCCTGTTCAGGTACCAGTGAGGGCACCTGCTCACACTCAGGTGCCACTTCTGGTGCCCACTTGCTTGTTTGGGGATCACAGTGATGGTTGACCAGGGCTCCCTGACCTGTACAGGCCTCTGCTATGGGGGTGATGGCCAGTCCTGGTGTCTGAGTGATTCCCTGGGCCCAGCAAAGGGACCAAGTTTCCAGGTCAGCGACGTTGGATGCCTTCCCTCTGCCTCTGGGAGCGGTGGGTTGGCATGAGGTGGGGTAGAAACCCAACCTGGCCTGAGGCTCACTCTGGAAACTGGGGAAAGGGAAGGGAGGCGCTGCCTTAGCTAACACAGTTGAAATTTCTGGTCTTAAAAGTCTCCGCTGAATATTCTTCTCCCAGAGCCTTGAAGACAAGGGGTAACACCCCAAAATACGGACTCATTTTCCACTCTACCTTCATTGGCCGAGCAGCTGCCAAGAACAAAGGTCGCATCTCCCGATACCTGGCAAACAAATGCAGTATTGCCTCACGAATCGATTGCTTCTCTGGTATGGGTGGGGGAGTGGGCAGTTGGGAGGGTGGGGAGGCTGACTACCCTAGCAGCTTCTACAATGATGGCAGTATTTTTCGTCAACAGCAGTTCACCTAGTGAGTGTTGATACTTTGGGTCTGAGTAAAGCTGAGGGTAGGGGAATGCTGGAGGCTGAGCTAGTAGTTTGTCCTGCTAGGGGCTGATGTGCTTTGTTTACTTATATAAACACATCCAGAGGTGCCCACCAGTGTTTTTGGGGAGAAGCTTCGAGAACAAGTTGAGGAGCGGCTGTCCTTCTATGAGACTGGAGAGATTCCCCGAAAGAATCTGGATGTCATGAAGGAGGCAATGGTTCAGGTCAGTTTGGGTCAGGTCAGGTGGGGTAGAATCAGAGCTGGCTGTTGGAGGTGATGAACTGTTTTAGCCTGACCATGTAGAGTGGAGGTAAAAAACTGATTTAATGAGCCTGATCCAACAAAACCATGAGAGAGACCTAGGGAACCAGAGGTCTTCAAGCCTTTTCAGCATCTTTCTTTGGCCAGGCAGAGGAAGCGGCTGCTGAGATTACTAGGAAGCTCGAGAAACAGGAGAAGAAACGCTTGAAGAAGGAAAAGAAAAGGCTGGCTGCAATTGCCCTGGCTTCTTCAGAAAATAGCAGTGCCCCGGAGGAGTGTGAGGTCAGTATTAAATTGTTAGCCCTCAGCCCTAGGTAAAGATCTTAGGTTATAGGACAAAACAGCAGAACAGAGAATATAGCATCTCAAGTCAGGGTCTACAGTACATGCTTTTGGATTGAAATAAAGACTTGAAGTCTCAAAGTCTACCTCTTGATTATATAGGAAGGAGATGGGTGCTGAGAAAACTCACTCAAGAGCCCAGAGAGCTGGTTTGTAGCAACACCTGTTCATTCTCTGGGCGAGTGTGTTCTGCCTTTGCTGCCTTCCAGGAGTTTTTAACCAGGGATGGTGCAAACTGCACTGCTTATTCAGATATGTCTAGAGATGATAGCATCTCATACTGGCAATGGGGAATAGGGAGGGCTCCAGTGTGCTGCTATGGTAGAATCATTCTCCCTAGGATTGTCAGCAGTGCCAGTGTTTCAGGGGTCCCCTCTGGCACTTGGCATCATGATTCTTTTTTGTGACCAGCATGGTGAGGTTTTTCTGTAAACCTAAGGATAGTCTGATTACCTAAGGATAATTGTGTGTTCTGTCTACCTTTTAAGTGATTGGGGGGGGGGGGTACCTTTGATTTGACATGGATTTCCAAAGCTAAGCCATTCTATTAAAAATCATCCCAGAAACACTAGGTAGTTTTAAAGCCATTTTCACTAGTCTTTCTTCCCTGAGTGCTTAACAGCTGGAATTCTAACATGGATATGTGTACATAAAACAGATGACACTACTTCATGCCCATTTTTCCCTTTCTGCCATCAGGAGACAAGTGAAAGACCCAAAAAGAAGAAAAAGCAAAAGCCCCAGGAGGCTCTTCAGGAGAATGGAATGGAAGACCCATCTGTCTCTTTTTCCAAACCCAAAAAAAAGAAATCTTTTTCCAAGGAAGAGCTAGTTAGTAGTGATCTTGAAGAGACAGCTGGTACTGGAAGTCTTCCCAAGAGGAAGAAATCTTTTCCCAAAGAGGAAACAGTTACTGACCCTGATGAGTCAGAAAACAAGAGGGTCCCCAAGAAAAAGCGGAAATTGTCCAAGGAGGAGCCACTCAGCAGTGGACCTGAAGAGGCTGCTGCCAGCAAGAGCAGTGGCTCCAAGAAAAAGAAAAAGCTCCGAAAGCTATCCCAGGAAAGTTAGAATGGACATCTTCCTAGTGGGACATAACTTACAGAGGTATTCCCCATCCCATCCCCTAAAGCCCAATAAAAATAAAAACAAATTCACAAGAGTCATACCATGTTTTATTGGACACCTTAACATGGGTGTGGGTGGGACCTATGGGTTGGACAGGGCACCAATGACAGCCTCAGTGAAGTCTTGGCAGGTGGCATAACCACCCATGTCAGAAGTTCGAACCTGTAGGGGAGAACTGTTATCATCTCTGTGGCCTGGGCCCATCCCTAACCCCCCACCACCTAACTGTTCCCTAAGGAAGCCAGCTCCCAACAACCTAGGCTCTGCCCAGAAGGTAATTATGTTCTAGAGGTATAGGGCTCTTCTCTGGTCCACAGTACTGAAGGGAGGTGTATGGTCCTTGTGAGGTTGGAGGGAATAAAGGGCTCTAGCCCCCATAGGGGTGCAGGTGGCCGATGACAGACTTGATGAAGTCGGTTGTGGTGCTGTAGCCGCCCATGTCTCGAGTCCGTACCTACAGCCACCACCGGCAATAACCGTGGTGAGGAAGAGAAGAGAGCCCATGAAGGTGAGGGGCAGGGCAATGTGATGGAAATGGAATCCAAAGAGGGTGACAAGGCCAGGAAAACGATGCAATGCAGCAGAGATGCAAGGAGGCAGCCAGGTTTGGAAAAGCACAAACCTGTGCGCTCCTGTCTGAGGGCCAGAGCCACTACTTGTGCTCTGCTGCAGCCTCAGCAGGGCAAGAAGCTCAGTGTGAGTGAGATGGGAAAGGCAAGTCAGACAGGAGGAAGATACCTTGGAGGAAAATAGAGGAGACCAGGTGGGAGCAAAGACAACTGCAGGGGAGTGGCAAATAGGATAGGCTTCCAGGTGTGGAGAAAGTGGTGCCTCATCTTGTCAGCTATCTCCCTCTGCTCCTCCATCTCCCCCCCGCCCACACTCGAAGTTCTGCCAGTGGATGAAAGAGGAAATAGCAGATGGGAAACTAGGAGGCAAAGATGATCAAGAGAATGAGACAGCCAAGAGAAGAGAAATGAACAGCCCTGACAGGACTGGGGGAAGAGCAGAAGCTCTGGGGACCTGGAGGGAAAGGAGGCCCCAACTCAGGTTCCCAGAAATTGGTGCCAAGACCCTAAACCCCATAGCCTTTCTAAACTCACCTTGCCAACTTTAATCACCTTCTTCACTGCCTCTGCAATCATGTTGGAGTGATGCTCGAGACTGCCAATGTGGACAGAAAACTAGATTACCCCCACATCATCTTCCTGATTTCCCCACCTGTGTTCCCCAGACCACCCAGCCACCATCCTAGCCTGGCAGTGACCTACTTGAGATGCCGCAGCATGTTGGAAGCTGACAACAGCATGGCTGTGGGGTTGGCTATATTCCTGCCCACTGCCTGGGCAAATGGATGCCGGGCACCCTGTGGACAGATGAGCAGCCCAGAGTCACTAGCAGCAGACATTCTGCAGTATCTGAAGTCAGGGAAGGGCATTACATGAGAGGTCAGGCCGGGAACACTGAGAAGATGCAAGGGTTGGTGGGAGAAGAGTAGGCCAGGGTCATGAGAAGGCCAGGGGGATGCACTGGAGGATATGAGGTCAGATGAAGGGCACACACAAGAGGACTGAGGGAGGAGGTGACCTCACTCACCGTCTCAAACACCGCGTACTCTGCACTGTAGCTCTCACCAGGAACCACACCAGCTCCCCCAACCAGGCCGGCAGCCAGATTGTCAATAATGTTCCCATAGAGATTGGGCATCACCAACACATCAAACTGGTAAGGATTCTGCACCAGCTGGGGGCATGGAGAAGAGACATAAATCCAACTCCCTGCCTTGCTCCTCACTGAGAACAGAGACACTGGGAGGGCCTTACCTGCATGCAGCAGTTGTCTATGATCATTTTCTCAAACTTGATCTTGGGATACAGTTCAGCAACTTCCTCACAGCACTGCAGGAACAACCCATCTCCCAGTTTCCTGTTCATGGGCCAAAGGGAACAGATTCAGCTGGGAGAGTGCTGGGGGCTACCTTCCCAGGGCCCTACCCCATGCAAAGTTATGTCCCTCACATGATATTGGCCTTGTGGACAGCTGTGACCTTGCCCCGCCCCTTCTTAGTGGCATAGTCAAAGGCGAACTTTGCAATACGCTGTGATTTGGTTCGAGTGACAATCTTCAAGCACTCAATCACACCCCTCGCACTCTGCATGAGAGAAAAGCAGCTGAGTGACACTGGAAAGAAGGGAAGAAGGAGCTATGCCTCACTCCCCTCTTTACCCCTGCTCCCCACAGTTTCTAGGACCTCACCTCATGTTCCAGAGAACTGTACTCCCCTTCCGTCTGCTCTCGAATAATCACCAAATCTAGATTGTTGTGTCGAGTCTTGTACCCAGGAAGTGACTTCACATGGACTACATTGGCAAACAGGTCCAACTTCCGCCTGAGGATAGGGTAGAGCCATAAATACTGTGCCTGGTGCCCCAGGACCCCACTCACCAATAGCCTCCCATCACCTACCTCAGCCGCATATCATAGGAGGCTAGCTCCCCTTTATACTCCATTGGGGTGTGGATCTTTCCTGCATAAACAAAGTAGAGGTTGGCGGCGGGGGGGGGGAGAACCAAGCACAGGCCAATTTCAAGGAAACCCGGATTGGTGTTCCCTCAGTGACATAATGCAATCCAGACTCCCACCTCACACTCCCAAATAAGTGACCCTTAAATGCCTCTGGAGGCAAGGGGCAAAGGAGAATAATGTAGTTAAAACCAGAAACATTGTGTCCACTGTTTCATTTCTAGTCACCAGACATATGTTGAAACTTCAAAATGACCTAAGAGAACAGAAAAAAAAGTTCTCATGTTCTCAAAGGGCCTGGATTAAATAGGTTGAGAAACAACTTAGATCTGTGACCTTTCTTGATGTTTCTGTGTCTACATATGTGACATCTTTTCAACCAACACATATCATGTGTCAGGCACTAGGAATACCAACCAAAAAACAACACAAACTCCTGTCTTCAAGGGGCAAACAATGCACTGGAGGAAGAAAGTTAATAGGAAGGACATGATAAATACCATGGGAGAGGTATTACCAACATGCACAGGAGCAGAGAAGAAATTCCCTCTGGCAGTACCAGGAAGTATCACAGAACATCTGGCACTTCAGCCAGACCTTAGTTTGAGTTAGTGTACCAGGTTAAATAGTGATCCCCAAAATGATATACCCATGTTTTAACCCCCAGAACCTGTAATGTGACTTTATTTGTTAAGACAGTGTCTGTAGATATAATAAGTAAAGGATCTTGAGATAGATTCACACTGGATCCTTGTAGATTCTAAACCCAGTAACAAGTCCTTATACAAGAAAAGGAGAAACAGATACAGACACAGAGTGGAGAAAATCGTATCAAGACAGAGGCAGAGACTGAAGTGACACATCTACAACTCAAGAAACACTGAGGAGTGCCAGTAGCTACCAGGAGCCACCAGAGAAGCTGGAAGAGGCTATGGAAGATTCTCCTTAAGTCTTCAGGTGAAGCTCTGCCAACACCTTAATTTTGGGATTCTGGCCTCCAGAACTGGCAAAGAATAAAATTTCTATTATTTTAAGCCACCAAGTTTACAATAATTTGTGGCAGAATTCAGAAACTAATACAGTGAGTAAGGAAGATTCTGGCAGGAGGAACCAAAAGGAGAACACTGCGGGCAGAAGTAACAGCAAAAGCCAAGACAGTACACATTATTTGGAAACTAACACAGTCCAGAGTGACCAAACAACAGAAAAAATGTTGCAGAAACAAAGGCAGAAAAGCTAAGGCAGAAAAACTCATAACAAACTTACTTTCCTACCCTAAGGCTGGGACTGGCAAAGTCATAGTGGTCTTTCCAAGAGAAGAGCTGTAGAGGATGGACTGTAGGGGCAGAACTGAAAGCCAAAAAGTCTAATGAGGCAGTTACAGTAGGAAAGCAGAAAGGACAGAAAAGAGGCAGCTAGAAATGGCATTTCTGAGACACAATTAACAAGACTTGAGGACCATTTCCCTAGAGAAGGAAATAGCAACCCACTCCAGTATTCTTGCCTGGAAAATTCCATGGACAGAAGAGCCTGGTGAGTTACAGTCCAGGCAAAGAGTGACGGGCCTGAGCACAATGACCCATGACGTAGCCCCACGACAGACTACATATTCATAAAGCCTTCCTGCATAAAGCATGAGGCACATGATCCCTCAACTCCTGGGTTTCCAACTGGGCTTCCACTGATGGTCACCAATCAGTGGTGAGAACTCAGAAGAGTTAATGTACTAATGTGTGCAGAGGGAAGCTTAATGACCATTTATTCGGCACACATACCAATGATGGCCACTTTGTTCTCCTTCATGGAACTCAGCACCTGCTCCAGCTTCTCCTCAGATGCCATATTCTGCACCTCGCTCAGGTGATGCTCCTGGAACTCCACTGGGACAGAGGCAGCCTTCAAGAACAGGTGCCAAACATCGCAGGATCAGAATCGAGTAAGTCCTTTCCAACTCAAGCCACCGTCCCTGTCACGCCCCAGGCCACTCACCTTGAACACCTCCTTGACGGCGTGCATCAGCTCAGGCCCCACGCCGTCTCCTGGCAGCATAGTCACGGGAAAGGCGCCCTCCACCCTCACGTCCTCGCCCTGAGAGCAGGGGCAGCAAAGCTAGAGCTGGGGCGAGGACAGGGGTTCTGGGGCGGGGTGGAGGGGATGGCCAGGAGAGATGTCAGGGGCGTGGGCGAGACCGGAGCCCGGCCTGCGCTTACCTGGGTCCGCGAGGAGGCTTGCGCCACGGTTGAGGTACACAGCCTCCTCCATGCTCCGGGATTCGGAGCTGCGACCAGTACCTGCAACAGACACACAAGCCTTTTAAGTCGGATCTGGGCGCCTCTGGCCCCGAGTACTTCTGGGAGCCCGGTACAAACCCGCCGTCCTCCCGCCTGCCCTTGCGTGTCCCGGGCCTCACTCGGGTCAGCCAGCGGACACGGCCGAGGGCAGCCATGTCCTTCGCAGGAAGTCGCGGAGAAGTGACGCCGGAAACTGGAGCGGCCCAGGGCCCCTATTTCCTGCCCGGCAGGGATGTTGGGCGGTACCCGTATTTCCTCCAACCAAAACAGCTTACCCGGTGGTTTTCCTCCGCTGGCATCCTCTTGGGCTCCCCTCTTCCGGTACCCCCTGATGCGGCTGAGAGCTGCGTTGTTTATTGCTTTACTTTCAGTCACCGTATTTAGGTTGAAACTTGAAAATAACATTAAAGGCGAATATGAGGTTTCATTTCTATCAAACGGGGACCTAAATTTAATAGCAAGTTGAAAAACAATACTGGAGAATCTGTCTTAATGTTTTTGTGTCCTCGTATTTGTTATTCTTTTCATCAGTTCTCACTGAACAGTCGTATGTCCGACACTAAAGACGTTGATGAACACCACACAATGCATAGGAGAAGTGTGTGTGTGTGTGTGTGTGCCTGGCTTATTCAGTCTCCGAGCCTGCCCGGTTATTAATCTGCATTAATCAAGTTTACTCGTTTTTTCCTAGGTGGTGGTGTTCTTTGCTCTGACCTTTGTTTCCTAATAGTGTAGCCTAGGCTTGAACTCCCCTGAGCAGGATAGTAATTAGAGACAAATTATCTCAACCTTTTAAGTGTGACTCTAAAAGGAAAATTCAGATCGATTTCCTAAATTTCAGTCGCATGCTGTTTATAAAGTACATGCCTAAAGCACATGGCACAAGTGGACATGGAGCACTTGTTTAAAATGCAGAATTATGTCACTCCAGACTTGCTGAATCCAAATTTCAGGATTGGGACCCCAGAAAGCATATTTAACAGGCTCCCTCAGATGATACACAAATTTAAGAACCACTAACTAGATTGCCTCTGATTTATGTACCTAATCCTTCCAAAAATGTGCAGGGCATTCTCCTAGCCCAAGGGAAAGATGCAGTGGTTCTAATCTTGGGGACCAAGAACAGGCTTTGTGCCTCTTCTCTGCATTCCTTTAGGCAGGGCCTTCTCTACTGTTGTGAGGTAAAAAGATTTAAATTAGAAAATAAATGTGTAGGAAACATGAACACATGAAAAGTTCTGTGTCGATAAAAGGCTGTTAATAATATAGCTGATTGATATTATAAATGATAATATAATTATCAATGTTAACATTAATGTGACAAACTCCTCCATCTCCAGAATCAAAACCAGAGAACAGCACCATCTTGCCTTCATAGACTCCCTAGTCCCAAGTTACACACTGCTCTTGCCATTCACCACCATTTTTTTCTTCCAAACATTGCTCTTTATAGTAGAGAAAAAGTGGGAGATCTACAATTTCTCAAAGCTATGTTTTCTGTCACTTTAGGAAATTTAGGGCAGGAAAGGAGATGTGCATCTTAGTCTAATCTCTGATAACCTAATTTTCATCCCAGAAAATATTAATTTCCTTGAGGGCAACTACAACATTATTTCCATACCTAAATTCTGCACAAATCTGAGTCCAGTCTGACAAACAACATCTGCTCATTGATATCAAGCTGTGTGGCTGTCAAAAGAGTGAAAGGAATTGATGAATGGTACCAAATGACTGAGGCCAAGGAAATGTGATCATCACTGTTTTGGGTCATTGTATTCTTCCGGTGAGTTTGGTGAGCTCTCCTGGACTTGGAGTTCCTATTAAGGCATCTCTTACCGATACTACCTGAGAATAGGGAAGTCCAGTCCAGACTCTTGAAAAGTTCCCTAACCAGACTCTTGGACAAGTGAGAGGGGTTAAACCATCTTGTTCCTTTGAGTTGTTATGAAGCATATATTAGTGTTCGGTGTGAGGCTGGATGATTTGAGTGTCAGTTTCCTAGGCCTGTAAATACTCCAGTTCAGGGGTCCTAACCAGAGCTCCAGGTATCTGTCAGTAGAAATCAGTACCATGAACCTGGATGGGGAAAATAAAAAAAAAATCCCTTCTTTATTCTCAATAACCTCTAACTGAAACTTAGTGTTTCCTATCATTACGAATGTAAAGTGAGGGACTGCCCTGGTGGTCCAGTGGTTAAGACTCTGCCTTCCAATTCAGGGGACATGGGTTCGATCAGTGGTTGGAAAACTAAGATCTCACATGCGCAGAGGAACTAAGGCCACCACCACAACTACCAAGCCTGAACGCTCCAGGCTCCAAGCACCACAACAAGAGAAAGATCCTGCATGCCACAACTAAGGGGCCTGGCTCAGCCAAATAAATAAATGTATTTTTCAAATGAATGTAGAGTGATAGTGTAGTGCTATTTGTAGTACCCTTGACTTTATCACTAATAGGAATTATAATTCATGCTGTATTTCATCTGTCACAGATATCTTGAAATATTATTTACTCTGATTGCTAGTTTAATATTATTTGACCTAATGTGAGATTTTGTTATTTAATGCATGAATAAAGCAGCAGGTATAGCACTATATTAAAAGGTTGCATTAATATTATTATTAACATAATGAGTTTTATTTATAATCCTACATGTGTTAGTTTATGCATTTAGAATCCTTTCCTAAGAAGAAGACAAGGGATGGAGCTCAGCAAGATATAACCTCAGCTGGAGTCTACCTTAGCTTATTCTAGGGAGCCCTGGAGCAGGAATGATGTCTCAGGGTTGTCCCAGTTTGAAGCAAGGCTTAATAACTGCTTCAGCCCTGCATTGCCTAATCTTCCAGGCCTCTTTGGCTCTTGGAGGCTCCACTGGCCACAGACAACCCTCCCAGAGAAGGGGGTAGTTGTGAGCAGTTAATGACCAACACCTGAAGCAGTTGGGGGACTGGATGCATCAGCTGGCAAAGAAAAGCTGGACAAGGTACCTGCTATTCTGTGGAGATGAGAATGACCATGGTGCACTGGGATCCAGTGAGAACAGGTATGTTTGAGGAGATGAGGTACCGTAAGGAGTAGTGAGTAAGACTGGTTCAAGTTCTAGGGCTAAGAGAAATAAAGAAGGATTAGTGAGCAATACTGAGGACCCTGTTGGTATGGTGACCATGAATTTATCATGTTATGATTATGTGGATTTCATGAAGAAAGCCAAACTTGGGTTTATCTAAAGATGTATTTTGCCAGAGAGAGGTACAAGAGCATCGAGGGTATTGGGATCAGGAGGGAAGTGAAGCCATTCAGAAGAGATCTAATGGATAGACTGGTGAAAAAAAGAACCAAAGATCCCAAATAGTCAGAGAAGACCTTGTGGAACTCACTGAGCAAGTAAGTTGGAAGGAGAAGAGGGTGTTTCCACCAGTTGTTTTGGAAATGGAGCAGATGCCAGTGATAAAGAAGTACCAGATGGAACTATGGGAGTGGATCCAGAAGAGAGCTTGAAAAGACTCCAGCAGAGGAGGACTCAGACCCACAACATTGGATGGGTAATGTGTCACCATGACAATCACCTAGGATAATGTCATCAGCAGAAGCAGGAAAAAGGCTGGGATCCAGGTTCTAGGGCCTGCTCTTGGTGAGCAGGAGACACCAAGAGATCAGAGATGGCAGGGAATAAGAAAGGTGATTTCAGCGAGAAGAGCCCCCCAAAGTAGAACTTCTTTTTTCCTCTTAATTTTTTTAATTGGTGGAAAATTACTTTACAATGTTACGTTGGTTTCTGCCATACAACAACACAAATCAGTCATAATTATATATATATACACATACATATCCCCTCCCTCGGGAACCTCCATTCCCACCCCCCATCCCACCTACCTAGGTCTTCACAGAGCACCAGGCTGGGCTCCTTGTTTTTATAAAGCAGCTTTCCACTAATCATCTGGTTTATACATGATAGTGTATGTATGTCAATGCTAATTTCTCAATTCATTCCACTCTCACCTTCCCCTGCTGAGTCCACAACTCCATTCTTTACTAGGCTCACCAGTACCATTTTTCTAGATTCCATGTATATGTGTTAATATATGATACTTGTTAATATATGATACTTTTCTCTTTCTGATTTATTTCACTCTGTATAAGAGGCTCTAAGTTCATCTACCTCACTACAACTGACTCAAATTTGTTTCTTTTATGGCTCAGTAATATTCCTTTTTATATATGTAGGACATCTTCTTTATCCATTCATCTGTTGATGGACATCTAGATTACTTCCATGTCCTTTGGCTACTGTAAATATTGCTGCAATGAACATTGGGATACATGTGATTTTTAGGATTGTGGTTTTCTCAGAGCTTCCCAGGTGGCACTGTGGTAAAGAACCTGCCTGCCAATGCAGGAGATGTAAAGAGAGGTGGGTTCGATCCCTGGGTTGGGAAGATCCCCTGGACGAGAAAAGGGCAACTCACTCCAGTATTCTTGCCTGGAGAATCCCGTGGACAGAGGAGCCTGGCGGACTACAGTCCATGGGGTTGCAAAGAGTCAGACACGACTGAAGTGACTTAGCATGCAGCGAGGTATATGAGAAAGTGAAAAGGGCTTCCCTAGTGGATTAGACTGTAAAGAATCTGCCCGCAATACAGAAGACCTGGTTTCAATCCTTCAGTTGGGAAGATCCCCTAGAGGAGGAAATGGCCACCCACTCCAGTATTCTTGTTTGGCAAATTCCACAGACAGAGGATCCTGGAGGCTATGGTCCATGCAAGGTGGCTCAGTCGGTAAAGTGTCTGCCTGCAATGCAGCATACCCAGGTTCAATCCCTGGAACAGGAATATCCCCTACAGAAGGAAATGGCAACCCACTCCAGTATTCTTTCCTGGGAAATCCCTTGGACAGAGGACAGAGGAGCCTTGTGGGCTACAGTCTTTGGGGTCGCAAGAGTCAGACTTAGCGACTAAACCACCAAACCACCACCAGGGTATATGCCCAATAGTGAAATTGCTGGGGTATATGATAGATGTATTCCTAATTTTTTAAGAAATCTCAATACTGTTTTCTGTAATGGCTGTATCAGTTTACATTCCCACCAACAGTGCAAAAAGTTTCCCTTTTCTCCACATTTTCGCCAGTATTTATTGTTTGTAGATTTTTTTGATGG